TTATAGTTTTATTTCTTCGAAAAGTTGAAGTCTTAGTTATGCAATCAATACATATGTGAGTTAAATAGACATTTAATATTTTCAAGATTGTATTGGACAGACATTATAATTATGCCATTTCCTTTTCTCATATCATAAAAAACGTATATGAAGGGAGTTTAATGAGGATATTGATTACTTACCATGTTGCCTACATGTAAGTATCATTTTCATCTCATTTAGAAGTGCTTTTGTGTGTTTGAAACTTTCAACGAATGCTTAATATTGTGAGAACTGTACTTTCCGTAATGCCTCTGTGTAAGTTCATGTTCTAAAATATTTATATTCCATGTTTTAAATTTATGATTATTTTGCTGCATTGTCTTTCTCATTACATTTTTATATGCAATGACTTTTAACTACGTTAGCAATACAAAAGATGGAGTTTATTCATATATCCATACATATTTTCACCCACATCCTACAAATTTTTTTTTTTTTTTTGAATAGTTACTGTCTTGAATATCATAAAATTTTTATTTCCCTGCAAATTTACTGACTTCTACTTTATTTGTTGGAGGGGGAATTTTTTTTAAGAGTGGACAAAATGATCAAACCAAATTAGAACCAAATCAAATAGAGTGGTTCAGTTCTATAAGAAAATTGGTTTTGTTCTTAGAACCAAACTCAATTTTTATTAATTTCTTTTGTGTGTGTGTGTCTATATACAAATCGGTGAATCAAACAAAAAAAAAAGTCAAATTTTGATGATCATTTGTCTATATTAATGAATCATTGTGATTATACAATATTTTGCATGGGGATGGGACTTAATGTTTGTGTATTCAAATTATGACCATGTTTTATTTGTTAGTTTGAATTTTTGTGAATGAATTTTATTAAACAATATTTCATTTGATAATTGATAATTAAAAGTTGAATTTACTAAATGTTTGATGTGTATTTTTTTATTTAGGTATATGTTAATAACTTAAAAATATAGTGATAGATTTTAATTTGCATTTATCATTTGAAAATTTAAGTAATGGAATCAAAATCAAACCAAACCAAACTAAAACTGAATGGTTCGGTTCCAGTTTAGTTCCATATAAAAAAAAAATCATTGGTTCATGGTTCGGTTCAGTTATCTTGGAATCATGTTCACCTCTACATTTTTTACACGAATTCTTCTTTGGGGAGAACAATTGCCTTAGAACAACGTTGCGTGCTTGTGATGATGCAACTTATTAAAATCGTCGTGTTAAAGTATCAACCATCAAATACACCATAATAAGTCATTTTTTATTACTTGTCATGCTAAAGTGTGTCATTATGAATTGTAGTGTTAATTGAGGTGGTGGGATTTGTGAAAATCGTGTTAGAGTATGCGATAGTGTTAAGGCCTGTTTGGTACAGATTCTCCTTTTTTACAGTAAATCAATTCTCATTTTCAACCACACATTCTTCAATAAAATAATATTTTCCATCACATCAATACTTTTTTCTTCTTTTTCAACCACA